GTTTTGTCGGAAAAAAAGCCATTTTTCCAACAAAACTTGAGGAACATCCACACTGAAATTGCATTCTTCCGTGAGAAAAATCGAAAGAACAGAGGGTTTTTTCCGGCATTGGTAATCCTCATTCTATGAGGAAGAAGTCTTTTTGTGAAAGAGCTCTTTTGCAAAAAGGTGTGGAGACAGGGAAGAGGGAGTTCTTTCAGAAGAAGACGAAAGAGCAATCACAGCTTATATACAAGAGAGCATCCATTCGGTGTGAACGCTTTCTTTCAAAAAAGCAGACTGCTTTTTCGATGCACTTTTGTAATGTGGACGCTCTCTTTCGGAAGAAGTTTTTTCTGTAGATCTCTTCTGAAAAAAGCTTTTTCTGAAAGAAGCCTATAGTCTAGACATAGCCTAAAAGACCCTGCTTGGGGCAGGAAGAGGGAGCTGGAGGCAGTTTTCAGCACACCCTGAAGCAAGGAGATGGCAGTGCACAGGAAGCTCCATGCAAATCCAGATCCAGCATAAGGCTGTTTCTGCCTCTGGATCCCTGGGCAGGGAAGAGGTGTGGCTGTGGGTGTCTTGGCTCTGGGAGGGGGTGTGCACTTGGATTCTGAGGGAGAGGGAGCAGAGAAATAGGAACCGTGTTGTCACAGGGGTTTCTTTAACTCTCTGCTCTTGAGGGGATATTTTTGTCTATATTGTTAGATATAAATGACAAAAATAATTGAGGTTGTTGAGATCATCTAGCATTAATTTTGACAACTTAATATGCAGAATTTTACAAATTTTTAATCTTTTTGGTGCAAATTTCCCCCCAAAGAAACAAAGGGTGCTTTCCTCTCACAGAGGGGGAAAATACTAAAATATGGGAAAAAGTGCCATCTCTAAAGAAGGCAAGGACTGCCAGTATGGTGGGCCAAACTATCTGAATTCTAAAATATCCATAGATAGGCAATGGAGATATCTAAGGAGTTGAGATGGATGAGAGATGAAAATGTAGCATGAAATGGAGTCATTTGGGGTTTTTTCCCCAAAAATACACAGTATAACAAATCTATAGATACCATGGTCTTTTTTTTTTAATAACAGCTAAAGGAAAATTCCCCTGTATTCATTATTTTTCCTCATTAAATATGAAATCAGGCACGTCTGGAGAATGCTTATATTTTCAAATAACATATAATATCTGGTTCATTACAAGAGAATGCAGAGGTAGAGAATCTTTGCCACCACCAGAAACAATCTGGATCAGACTGGGGAACACACTGGAACATAGGTGGGAGGACTCTTCCTTTAAGAAGTCAAAACATACCAAAATGTTTCATTACTAGATTTTGTTTTCCACTGCATATAGACCAAAAGCATACTGGGAAATTTAAATAGCCCAGAGAATTTATTTCAGATAAAGTTGAGCTAAAGATGTCCCATATCTAAAGATCAAATATTGAAATAGCTTCTTGGCTCTAGTCAATTTTGCAAAACATTGCCACTGATAAACTGCTTGAGAAAATGGGAGTTCAGTTCAAGACTGAAATGATTCCTCCTAGAGGGGATAGGAGGGCTGCTAACAGTATGAAGGTTTAAGAGAAAGAAGCTAGAATTCGTATAATCAGTTGCATCCTGGTACACGGGTATTGGTCTAACAGAAGTCCTCTCTAATTTGGGTAATTAATGGCATTGTTTATGTGTATGAGTGATTGATGCCCAAAAATATACATGTTTTTAAACTTCCTTTAAGATATAACCAATCACTGTCACAATTCAAACAAGGATTAAATTTCATATAAAAGCAACTGGCAATGAATAGCTGTCTCCTTTGGCTGAGGCAGGAGAATCTACCCTTCAGAAGCTTTCCAAATAAGCCAGCCTCTATGAATGCAGCAATTAGTTCCATGCAAACAGCTGACATCAAAGACATTAGTATGAGAGCATATATCCATGGGCATTGTGATGATAGAAAGGTACGGGAGGTGGCATTTGATTCATAACAATTGACAATCATAATTTTAATGATCACCTCCAGCTGGACAGAGGGAATTGACTACCTGTCCCCCCATCTCCAACTCCCTGCTCTAGTTCCTCTGGTCGCTGGAAATTTTGATAGTACACTGTCATCATAAATGAGTCAAGTTTGAAATTGTTTTGAAAGCTTTCTCCCATAAACACAATGGTACCCATCTATGACATATATATATGTGCACTCATACAAAAGACACTGATCCTTAGTATTCCTAGGTTAGCATTGATATGTAAGACTGAAAACATTTTTAAAGTCATCCTCAGTGTCATCCCATTGCTAGACACCGATCCTCATCTGCTCTCTACTCACACAGCTCTGTGCAAGGCAGGCTGCTGGCCAGATGTTTGCAAGTTGGCGAACACATGGCATTTGGTTAGCTGGAGGATTGATTCAGGAGTGGGTGGTATTTCACGCATAATTGGAGTGATCGGTACGTCCTCTAAGACCCATCCAGGCCCAATGGGGAGGGTAGGTTTGAACGTGCTCAATGATCCCGCTGCCTTAAAGTTACATATCTGCAGCATGCCTCAGCTGGGCCTCTGCTGCTACCCACTTTACAGGGCTATGCTGCTGTTCATATTTGTGCTAACTTGAAGAGAGCTACTGCAAGTACATGTGTACAAGCAGGGGATCACACTCCTAGCTCATAGTGTAGATATAGCATCAGACAGGTAGGCCCAATCCCCTAGAAGACTTTGAGTATCAGGACTTGGAACTGGATTCTACCTCAGAGGCGCAGCAAATGGAGTACCAGTGTTCTTGGGGATCTGTGTGGCTGAGCAGGCAGGCTGCTCAGTTTTCTGTCAGCTGGAGCTTTTCCTAAGATACCTGGCAAGTGGAAGTATATTAGTATGTTGCCCTAGCTGTTTCAGCATCCAACTGTATTTCTTCCTGCACGTATCTGTGTAATGTACATATTTGATTATATTTTGTATATTTTCATCTATTTATATCTCACTAAGTTATAGGAGAGAGGTAGCTTCCTTCAATATTAATATGCTAAAGCTTAGTTAAACTTGTACTATGTTTCTGCACAACCTTTTTCTGCTGTTACATTGTCAGCTTATGTTCCACATGTGCGTTAAGATATAAAGATTATGGTTGGCTCAAAATAATTAATTACAGGAGGTAAATCCTGCTTAACCGGATCAGGGAAGCAGTAGAATGTTTCACACAAGGGATTTAGAGTGCTCGACTGACACTACAATTAAGTGACAGTTGATTACCATGATGAAAATAATGTGTAATTATTCCCTTCAGATAACCAGAACTGCCTGTTCATAAATTAAAGCAAGTTCTTTTCTCTGTAGGGCAGGCAATAAGAGTCCTATGGAGTCTAGAGAATCTTGCAGGCAATCTATTTTTTCTACTGCACTCCATAGTGTCTCCTACAGAAATGTTATCCTACCACAGATAAACATACCACACAGTGGCTGACTATAACTGCATACCATCCTGCTATTCATTAATAGATTAAGATCATTACACCAAAATAATATCCTACGACTGCCTGCAAATTCTCACTGCATGCAGCTGTTCCAGTCGCAATTGTTTATTGTTGATGCTTCAGACTTGAATAGGACATAAGGAAAAGTCACTCAGGTGATGACTGTAACGGTTTGACTCAGGTTGTAAGTTCTCTGAGGTAGCGACACACTCTTTGCTTTGTGGTTGGACAGCACCTTGCAGAATGGCTCCTGGTCCATGACTGCCATTACCGTAATACAAATAACAAATAATAATACAAGAAGAATAAACTGGATACGTTCTGCCCTCAGTTGTACCTGAGCAACCAATTTGAATTAACTGCAGTCAGTATGGTTATGTGGGTAAACTGAGGGCAGAATCTGGCCTATTTAGTTAACAATGTAGAAGACTACTGTGAGAGCCAGGAAACCATTCCAGAATCTTCTCAGTTGCCTATTCACAGAGAAGAGAGAAAGCTGAGTTGTTTATTACCCTGTCTCCATATCTGTTCATCTTGCTCATCCTGAAGCCAATGACTCAAGAGTAGGATGTGGGGTTCTGATAGAAAATGGAAAGGAGGTTGCTTCATCCCCTGCTTTGACTTCAGTTGTTAGAAACAGTGATCCTTTGATCTGAGGATGCTCTCTCTCACAGATTTATGGATCCTGGAACCACAGATCCACACTCTGTAGGTAGAGATATTTCCTGGAAGAGAAGCTGCTTGCTGGGAGAGTTATTTCTTTTTCTTTCCTTCCTTTTCTCTCTTTTTTCATCTTGGAGGGCAAGATGCTTTTCCTCAAAGTGGGACACTGCCAGATGGAGGATGGGTTGCCACTGAGGTCAGCTGGTAGCTTGCTCCTCCCAGCTTGTAATGTCCACACTCTTCTTGAAACTTGCTTCAAGTGCTTGTTCTGGGTTCATCTATAAGGCAGTGAAATCTATAACCTTGGCAGGAATTGTTACTCTGGTGTTAATGTGCTCTCTGACAGTGCGTAAATAGACTAGCGAGCCAGGTCTATTGGCAAGTAGGTGAAGAGGTGAATGATATTACATAAGAACATAATTCCATATGGCCCAGAAGGGAAAAGTGGTCCTTGACAATGGTCCATAGTCTGAAAGTGAGTTATCCTGATCAAACTGTGGACTGGAATCTTTCCAAAGGGAAGTAGGCCTTTGCCATGATCAAATCTAGGGTTGCTCTCAAAGTCTATAATCCTTGTGAGAGTTAAAATGGGCTTTTTTTTTAAATTGAGATACATTCTCCAGTGTGTTAGAAAATGGAGCAATAGCAAAATCACTGCCTGAACTGCCTGACTGCAGTGACCCATTAGGAATCAGTTGTCCACATACAAAAATATGTAGCTATAATGTCGCATTTGGGCCAACTCATGGAGAAGACCTTAGTGAAGACCCTGGTTGCTGCTGCTAGCCTGAATTAAAGTACTGTGAACTGACAGTGTTTTTTGTCCTACTAGAAACCTGAGCCAAAATGTGACAGCGGTCTTTTCTTTTCCATAATATGTTTTCTCAGCTACAGTGCCTGAAGTTTGAAGTTGAGACAAGTGACATATGCTGCACTTCTTCAGGACAACAGAAGCAGCATTGGTTCTTCACAGAGAAGGAGTTTGGGTAGGAGACAACATTGTTAAATCCTACAATTCTGGTCACAGTCTTTGCCCATGAAGAGAAATTCTCCAGGGCATGGAGAAAGCACAGTTAGTATAGTTTAGCTAAGATTAAAAGTTCTAACTAGAGTATAATATTAAAAACTATTTACACTATATTCACAGCTTCATTAAGAAGAAAAACATATAGACAAATCAGTGGACACAGATGATTCTGACTAAGGTCAGTAAGAAGGAACTGGAGAGACGTCAGTCTGCACTATCCCTTATACCAGGGCTATTCAACTTTGGAAACCCCGAGGACCACAATGATACTCACAGCACATGCCGAGGGCCGCAACTTAAGTGTGGTTGCATATACATGCAAATATATGTGCATATAGTTTCTTTCATACTGACGGGCCTGAATACAAAGATTAAGGCAGGACTACACAACACACAGACCCCATTTAAGTCAGTTCTGCTAACATTAACAACATGCAATATTTACCCAGTTTCCACCCATATGATAGCACTTTTAATGAGCAAAGACAGTCCAGGAATTTAATTACTAAAAGGCATATCAACAGAAGAGCATTATATTGACCACTCTTGTTTTGGCTCCCACCCGCGGGCTCCATGTTGAGCCCTGTGTCAATTCAAACCGCACCACGGGCTGCAAACAAACAGGCTGCGGGCCGCATGCAGCCCATGGGCCATGTGTTGAGTAGCCCTGCCTTATACTTTTGGTTCAGAAGGCAAGGAGACCAACAGTGCAAGTACATGTCAACGGATACCTACTTTCTAGAAACTATGGAGTGCATATGTATCCACACGTGAGGGACTAGTAAACAAAGAAGAATTACTTTTTTTTCCACTTTGGGTGTTTCAATGAAAAAAAAGAAAAGCAAATTTATGTTCTTTTCTCTTCACAAGCACCATTTTTTGCACAGCTGTGTTTGTAAGATTCATGCAATGCAGTTCCATGGATACCAACAGGGAACATTCTATCACAAGGCATCTGTGGTTTCATTGGCTGCATCATTTAACTGAATATGGAGACAGGGTGAAATAACAGGGACAGTCTAAAATGAGGTAACAGGAAAAAGTATTTCAATAGCATTTAGCAGCCTTATAGCAAAATATTTAAAGCTGAAGTACCATTTAACAATGAGTATCATTCATCTTATATCTTTTCAGACTTTTCATTGTCCTTTTTGATATGCATTAGCTTCATCCTAGCAATTTAAACTCATCCCTGCTTATTTTCAAATGTGTTACCACTCTCTTGGCAGGTGCGAACCATTAAGTCTAGATAGGTTTAGATATTATTTACCTGATAAATGAGTCCCATCAACCACCAAGGAGTGCAGCCAACCTTTCACATAATTGCATGGTTTCAAAGGGAGCAATTTAAGATGTTTGCAGAACAGAAGCAGTATCTAGTGAAATGGTTACATTTATACTCCAGCTAAGGCAAAGAATGAAATTTGAAAATGTCAGCTGGCAGCATTAAGCACTTATCACAGTGATGAGGATCTGCCCATTCTTGTGTTCAATCTACTGAGCACAGTAGTAGCAGCAGAAACCTCATTTTTGCAAATCATTCATGATACATCAGTGGAGCCTAGAGCTAAGTTTCATAGATCCCTGTTTTTAGGGAAGAATGAAGTGGCCAGCACTACTGACACTTTTTTCATATCCTTGTCCTCAGCTGTCAAATACAGAGGAGGAATCTAGCAAAAGCTAAAGGGCTGTGGGATTGGGAACATCTGTTAATAATCTCATACATGGGAATCTTATAGCTTCATATGCCATATTTTATCAAAACAACACACGCTAGCAAGTTTTAAATAAGATGAGGTTTTGTCAGGGTTATTTTTAGTCAAAGTCATGACCAGGTCGCAGTCAAAAACAAAAATTCATGGGAGCTGTGATCAGCCCATGACTTTTACTACAACTATGGGAGCAGGGGAACTGACAGCCCCACTGCCACAGGGAGGGCACAGCCCTGGCTCGCCCCCTGCCACAGCCTCAGGGGAACATACAGTTCTGGTTCCAGCACACCCATCCAGGACAGAGGGGGACACGCCATGTCTGCAACCACTGGGCAGGAAAAGAGGGAGCAGCCCTGGCTCTGGCTGAACCTATGAGTCGGGGCAGAGGCACGCAGCCTTGGTCAAAACCATGGGTCAGGGATGCACAGCCCCAGCTCCCATCCCAACCAAAGCCATGGGGCGGGGGTACCCACCCCAGGTACCTGCTGCAGCTGCAAGGGAAAGCACAGCTCCAGTAGGTCCAGGACAAACAGCCCCATTTCCATCTCCATCTCCACCAGTGACAGCTGGAGCCTAAGTCACAGAGATCTAGTAAAATGACAGAATCTGTGACCTCTGTGATTAACTCATATCCTTAATGGGAGTTCTCCGATGATACCTTACAAGGCACATTTTGTAGAAATCTTGCTACAGTTGTGCGTAGGGTATGACTATAGGGATATAGTCCACCACAGGGATGTAATAAAGAAGTGGCACACACAGTTCCAGTTAAGAGGCCATCTTTAGTTCCTGACCTCAGTGACATGAGTTATCATTAGCAAAGTTTATATCCTACTCCCATATGCACTCCTTTCCATGGTTATTGTTCCTCGGGCGTTTGTATGTGTCTGATAGCACTCACTGACTTCTGACTTGTACATCACTAATACTGAGAGTAACCTGAGGTCCCCTTTCTTCAGAATACAGCCATTTACAATGGAGAGTCTCTAAAAGGCAATAGTGTATAGTACTACTGAGCTTCAAATTAGTATATAGTTCTGAATCCTCAGCTGGTGTAAAACAGCACTCATTCATGTCACAGAGCTTATTGTCCAACCCTAGAAATCATCACTGTTTGTTCAGCACACATTGGCTCCTTCACCTCTCCTGTAGGGCTCAGTAATGATTTCTGCAGTAGTTATATCTTCACCATTAACAGTAGTGTTACCATACTGATAGCATAGGTTATTGCATTGTTTCAATGCAGTGGTTATGTGAGTGCATCTTTCCAGTTTATAAACTACTTGAATAATTATAGCCCTATCTCTGATAAAAGTTTGTGGAATGCAAACAAATTCTAAATGTGTGAACTTTGTCCAATTTAATTTTTATATTTTCTTTTTTTAAAATAAATTCTATGCAAACAGAAGAAAGTGATTTTGAAAAGAATTATTTTTAAACTTAGATTGTAAGTTCCTTGGGGCAGAGTCTTTCTCTGTGTTTGTCCAGTGCCTCGTACAAGGAGGTCCTGGTTCCTGAGTGGGATTCTAAGCAGTACAGTAATACAAATATTAAAGAAATGAAAGTCTAGCTGGAGACAACAAATATCCTGAATAATCTGAGGGATAAGTGAGGTAATATTTTAACTCCTTGCATAAATCTTAGGTACTTATATGACTCTCTTCCCCCTCCAGCCCTGCTCCCACAAACACTCCTGCATCTGGCTCTTTTTCCCTCACAATCATGTGTTTATTGTCACAAAACTCCAAGGTAGGGAAATGCTATTATCTCCATTTTACGAACAGAAAACTGAAACACAGAAAGGCTAAGTGCCTTGACCAACGTCATATATGTTAGTAGCAAAGCATGGAACCAAACTACTTGAGCTAGTTTCCTGTCACTCTGCTCTTTAATGCCTGATTTTCAAATTGCTGAACAGCTCCTCCCACTGACTCAGCCCTTTTAAAGAGCAGGGCATTTATTTAAGTACCTACAAACAACATAAAAGTGTCACCAATTTTTTAAAATATTGAGCATGAAAATTCAGGCCCTTATCTTTCTTGCTGACTGAAAGGGGAATGAATTTCCTATGTGGAGCAGTTTGCAGGATTGGAATAGTATTTGTTAGTGTTACAATATACGTCTCTTGGAATTTTGATTCCACAGTATTATTTTATGTATTTTTATCTTTAGATCAACATTATTCTCTGCAAAGGTCATCAGGCATAGAGCCTTTCTGGAGCTTTCTGTGAGTGTACCCTGACTGGCTCATGCGAAGACTTTCATCTTATATCCATTTGGTTGGGCATCCTTTGATCACAGTTTTGGTATCTTCTCACAGTCAGCACTGATGGACTGAAACCCCATGTTTAGTCACAGAAGGGGTAAGTATAGACAGAGACATGCCCCCACCTAATCCTGCTAATATACATTGTTAACTTGGATGCACGCTGTGGTGAAAGAATTAGAGATAAAAAGTTTGTTCAGTCTCTAACTTACCTTATCCTTAATGTCACTAGGTAAAGTGGTACTAAGTAGGTCTCATTTTTGTTATGTGGCTGCCTTTATGTTGGATCATAACCTCTGGATCTTTTTCAATAAGTATATAAAATTCGGATGGTAGTGTCTGATTTTTTGTCACTACCATCCTGTGCTTGGTTCAAACAAAGTCAACTAGAACTTTATTTCCCCTTACCGGTCTCCATTCCCATTCCCCTAGTCCATCATATTAGGTAGTACATCCATAGGGTTTATACATAAAGGCCTTGACAATGAAGTATAACTGTGGTGCTAAAAGAAGCAAATTCACCAAAGGTAGGCAGGTCCTAACAGAATATATTAAAATGATCAGCCTGATGACTGTTCATGTTCTGTTTCTTTTCTTTAAAAAAAAAAATCATTATGTCTCCATTAAGATTTTTTTGTGATTGAAAGATGAAAGAGCTTCATGACCTTTAAGAAATCTTTCCCCTTACTCTCTGCCCTTTGCCTGCTTCCTCCTGCAGCACACTTCCATTAAAATATAAAAAAAAGTTCCTAATTTTCTTTTTAATTAAAATGTACTGAACAAGACCAGCTCCGGTTCCTGCCAGGCATCACTCTGATGATTAGTACTCGCAATTTATCATCTGAGTCACTTGCTAGGAGGGATAGAAATCCCTGAAACTGAACTCTCCATAGTAAGCTGGATTTCATTATGTTGCTTTTCCATTAAATATCTGCTTTGAAAGAGTAGAGGAAGAAAGTGTAAATAAGTTAGACATGTCTATAAATCCCAGGATCCATTATTACATGTTGGCTTTTTCCTTTTAAATGCCTTGTATATTATAATTTCATGTACTTCTGTATTTTAGCTATTATAGGCCTAGATTCACTTACTCACAGAGAAGAGTCCCACTGAAAAGTATCTGCCCATCCTGTGTCATCAAGTGCTAACATTATTATTGCTATTAATTATGTGCAGACCATGTGAAATATTCCATATTAACAGTAATAGTTGATGATGAGGGTCTCTAAATTGATCATAGAATCCTAGGGCTGGAAAAGCCCTCAGGAGGTCATCAAGTCCAACCCCCTGCCCACAGCAGAACCAAACCTAATTAAATAATCCAAGCCAGGGCTTTGTCAAGCTGGGACTTAAAAACATCTAGGGATGGAGATTCCCCTACTTCCCTAGGTAACACATTGCAATGCTTCACTACAATTATTATAAGTACTTCATTACAATTATTTGTATCATATACAAATGCCAAATGTCTAAATACTAGTATGGGTGAACTTGAGTGCCTGGTATCAAATTAGTATATTGAAATATCAGGTACCACAAAGTTAGTTGAACTATGATAGTGACACAGAGTAATTCCAGGGTACAATATATATGGAAATGACAGAGTAGGTTGTTCTTCAGAGGGCGCAACATACATATGAAAGAAAACATAGGCAAATATAATAAAAATATTAAATGAATCAAACAGAACCTTGGAATCTGTATGGATAGAAATGCCGTGCTTCAAAAATAAGACTATTACAGTAGGAATATGCAACCCATTATTTAACCAGGATGGTGATAGTGATTGTGAAACGATCAGGCATATTAGACAGGCTAAAAAATGGAATACAAAATGGGGGATTTCAACTAGTGCATGTCACTTTAGGATGGAATAAAATTTCTAGACACTGTTAGTGATTGCTTCTTGGAGCAACTAGTTCTGGACCTACAATGAGAGAGACAATTCTTGATTTCAGTCTAAGTGGATCCAAGCATCTGACCCAAGACATGCATATAGCAGAACACATTGACAATAGCAACCATAAAGGAAACTACACAAAATACAGAAGCTAGTTAAATGGAAATTAAAAGGAACAGTCACAAGAGCGAAATGCCTGCAAGCATTTTAAAATGCCAACACAGGGGCTCAAATTAAATGTAAAGCCCCCATGAAAAGATGTTTATATTCCGGTTTTTTTATTTGTAATACTTCCACCATGGCTAAACAACACAGTGAAAGAAGGAGTTCGAGATAGAATGACATTTTTAAAAATTTGAAGTAAAATCCTAATAAGAAAAGCAAGTTGAGTTTAAGAGTATAATTAGGCAGGCCAAGAAAGCATTTGAAGAGCACCTAGCAAAAGGCTTAAAAACTAACGGAAAAATATTTTTTCAGTACATCGTAGGCAGGAAGTCTGCCAAACAATCAGTGGGGTAACTAGATGATTGTGGTACTAAAGAATCTCAGAAGCATAGCATGTTAGTCTGTAACTTTAAAAACAACTATTAAAAAATGAGTAGTCCTGTGGCATCTTAGGAGACTAACAAAAATATATGTATAGTATAATAAGCTTTTGTGGGCAAAACCCACTTCTTCAGATGAGATGATCTTGGGTGGTGCTTCAGATGCATTCAAGAGAAACAAGGTCATTGTGGTAATGCTAAAAGAATTCTTTTGCATCAGTCTTCACTGCAAAAGATGTAAGGGAAATTCCAACTCATGAGCAATTGTTTTTAGGTGACAAATCTGAGGAACTGCCTCAGACTGAGGCATTGCTATAAGTGAATAAATTGGTAAATTAAACAATAAGAAGTTACCCGGACCAGATGGTATTTACCAAAGGTTTCAGAAGGAACTCAAATGTCAAACTGCAAAACTATTAATTGAGTTATATGACCTATCATTTAAAATAGGTGTCTGTACCAGATGACTGGAAGATAGCAAACATAACACCAATTCTTTTAACTAGGTTCCAGATGTAATCCTACTGGTAAGCCTGAATTTAGTACCAAACGCATTGGTTGAAACTACAGGGAAAAAAGATTTTTCAGATTCATACATTATGTTGAGGAAGAGTGAACATGGCATTTGTAAACCTTACCAATCTATTAGTATCAACAAGCATGTGGCATAGAGTAGTATAGTGTAAATGGACTTTCAGAAAGTCTTTGACAAGGTCCCTCAACTAAGGCTCTCAAGCAACATAAACAGTACTATGAATTAAGAATAAGAGAGAAGGTCCTCTCATGGATCAAGTAAGTAGTTAAAGACAGGAATAAGCAGTCAGTTTTCACAAAGAAAAAACAGTTTCTTGTCATTTCTACCAGACGGGGTTGAAACATTTGTTCTGGGTTAAGTTTGAGGCTGTGGGAGTATGAAGGTTCAAGTGAGTTGTTAATTATGTGAACTGGCTCATAATCCTAATTACATATGTCAAACGTGACAAACTAAACCTTCAGGTCATAAGTCAGGCAAAGCTATCACTGAACTGATCCAAGGCCATGGAATTCCCTTGCATGAGGCTACCTGAATGGTCATGAATTCTATTATATAAAGGCAAGATACAGGTGAAGAGGTGGATCTTATATCTTCATAAAAATACCAGATTGGGGGGGTATCTATATTTATGAAGAGAAGGAAGAGAAAATCAGAGAGTACCTCTACACACCAGAGGAAGATTGAAGCTGCCACTGTTGATCTTCCAGGGTTCGAATTAGCTGATTCAAAGTGAGATAGGCAATCAGTCGATGCCAGTAACCCTGCTTTCACAAGGAGTAAGGGACGCTGAAGGGAGTGTGTTCTCCCTTCAACTTCGTGCAGCATGGACAGTGCCAAAAGCTGAGTTAAACAATTAATGTAGCTGGAGTTGCACATTTTAACTCAACTTCGTCCTATTGTGTGAACATACCCAAAGGGAAACCTATGGATACAATCTGCACCAGGTCAGAAAACAGAGATTTTTTACTGTGGAATGTTTTGATTAAAAAAAAAATATCTTCTAAATTTTCCATAGACAAATTGATTTCTTGACAAAAATGTGAATACCAAAATATTTCAGCTTAAAGCAGAAATATTTAGATCTGGAAATTTTGCTCTGGAACATTTTCCCAGTCTCCTCTGTGGTTTTGGACTCCTCTGGTCAGACTACATTTCCCATGGTAAACCAAGGCCTCTCCCCCCTGGAAAAATGAGACAGAACATCATGGAAATCCCTTGAAAAAGAGTACAAGACGAGATGTACACTGAAGGAAGCCCTGGCCTTTCCCTTTTTTTGTTGTTTTGTTTTTACATAAAAATGACATTTTCTGCAGAAGCAGACATTATTCACAAAAATGTGATTAGCTGACAACCTAAGTTTCCATCAAAAACAGTTTTGATAGAACATTTTTCAGACTGCCCTAATAAAACCTAAAAATTATGTCCAGACTGTCATTTTATAGACAATATTTTAAGGAGCTCAGATACCTAGGTAATAAGCATGGTATAGATGACTAGGCTGAAATATTTCATAGGGATTCTTGCTTGTATAAGTGGTAGGAAATGAGTAAGGACTTGAGTATTTGGCCCCAAGTAATTATAGCTCTTTTACTACAAAGCACCCTGTAACCCTGCAATATAAAGTGCAGAATTTTTCAGGGACTCAAAAGAACCTCAGCATCCTAGGCACCATTTTGAATGACTGATATTTAAGAGCTTTGTCTTCTGTTGTGATAGTATCCTTAAAAACAAATAATGGTCAAATATCCTTTGGTGGAAACGAAGATTTTAAAGCAAATGAGGCGCTCACTTCTCAAAGGAGGCAAATCTAACTGGTGTCTCAGAGTGATACAGGAGTGTCTCATTACTTCCACCACGCAGGTCCTTTTTGACATAATGGCCATGTGTATAGTAATTGCGTGCTCTCTGCTGTACTTAGGTATTCCGCCAAGTACAGAGTGACCAGATGTCTTGAATTAGGACAGTCCAATGTCCCTGCTAATTATGTTAAAACTGGTCTTTCACATTTTCTGCAGAAGCTCTTGAAAGATTTGTCTTTGTATGGTGCTATAACGACTGCTTCCAATTCGTTCTTTATTCCTCTCTTGATGTATACCTGAGATTTGTTTGCTTTGTTGATCTTTGCCAGATGGTGAGCTGACAATTTTCAGTGTCCACAACAATCATTTCTAGCCCCATGAGGCTAGACCTAAATTTGTCTTATGGAGCATAAAGGCAGCTATACTGCAACATCGCATAACAACAGCTAAATCATTGTGTATTGTATACGTAAGTAATTATCGTGTGCTGTCATTACAGAGACAGCCATTCCACTTAAATCAAATTCTACGTTAGGATAGTAAGACTTTGCCTCATGTAATTCTATGATAAACAAAGATAATGTAAGGAAAGATTATTTACTGTGTTTCTATGCTCTGCAAAACAAAGTGCTATAGTCTATGGAAGCAGAGTCTATGGGCAAATATGGCCATACTAAGTCAGATAATTGATCTGTCTAGCCCAGTAGTCTGTCTTTCAACAGTGGCTGGTGCAAGATGCTTCAGAAAGCATGAACAGAGCAGGACAATTGTCAAGTGATTCATCTCCTGTCACCCAGTCTCAGCTTCTGGCAATCATACGTTTATGGACATCCAGGGCATGAGATTGTGTCCTTTGACTGACTTTGCTAATAGCCATGGATGAACCCATCCTCCATGACCTTGTCTAATTCTGCTTTGAATCCATTCATATTTTTGGCCTTCACAACATACCTTGGCAACAAATTCTGTAGCCTTGTAATTTTGTAGGTAATAAGTTAGTTAGTTATAATGAATGTATGTTATAGCAAAAGGTTTGGATTAAACACAAACACAAGATGTAAGTCTCAGACAGGCCAGGTAGCTTTAACTTAGCTCCAGCTCTGTTGATGTCAGCATGTTCTGATGTCAAAGCAAAGGGATGGAATAGTGTAATATATAGTTAGTTAATATTAGGTAAGGCCTTGTAATAGATAGAAAAGTTTAATGTTGAAAGACTTTGTAACTTTGTCAAAGTGACTAGAAGTACCCCTTTGTTCCATGTTGCAATTCTGTAAATGTTTGTGTGAAAGAGAGAGAATGTTTTAGGAGAGAAGTGTGGAGGCCACTGCATGCTCAAATGGTCAGAGAATGGGCTAGAGACTCAGAAGCACCAAATAATTATCAACTAAGTGAAAGCAAACTGAAGACACCGTACAAGAACTGTACAAGACACCCCATCCTTTATACAATTTTCCTTCCATGCAAGTCTATGCATTTTGCCTTGTCAGGCCTTAATCAGTCACTTGACATCACAATCAGTCTTCCTACAACATACATTTATCAGGAAGAAGTTGTTCTCACAGTCATTTGATATCTGCATGCTGATGACCTCTCGGGGTGTTGTCTTTCCAGCAAAAGTTATTGGTTCCCTATCAAGGGATACTTTCCAATAACTTCAGAGATGTGTGTGTGGGCCCCATGAAGGGCCAGGCTGCTCAAGGCCCCTCTCCCGCCCATGGGATCCCACTGTGGCTGGATACTTCCCTTTCCTGCTTGTCCGTGGGGGTGGGGAGGGGGAGGAAAGTGGGCATTATGGTCCCCTGGGCACCTTTAGGCAGGCCACACATGGCCTTGCTGCTGGCATATTCCTGTCTTCTGGGCCGAGGACTGTTGCTCGCTGCTCACAAAGGAGGACACAGCCTCAGGGACAGTGTCTGCATGGATGACTGACCACCTCTCCCTTTTTATTCTCCACAGCCAGACCAGCTGTCACAGAGGGGTGATCCATACCAGCTGAGGCAACCATCCAACCCAGGAGATCCAAAAGCCCTTGAGGGTCCATAAGGACCTCATGAGGCAGCTGTCCTGCGTGACATGCAGTAGACCCTGGTGCAAAAGGTCCAGGAGGACACTGAGTGGCAGACCCACGTGGGACCCACTCATGCAGCAGGGTAACAACATGTGTGCCATCATGCGTGAAATGATGGCACACCCAGCTGCTGTCCTTGCTTCTGCCTCCCACCCTTCTGCCTGCCCCCGCTATGCCCATTCCCCTGCCCCCGCTATGCCCATTCCCCTGCCCCCAAGTGATGCCTCTGCTCCCTCCCCAAGTGATGCCTATGCCCCCATCCCCTGCTATGACTATGCCCTCTGCCATCCCTGACCCCATTCCAGCCCTCCCCCCCGCCCACTCCCCTGTGGTCCCAGGACCCACCCAACCCCAAGTTCACAGAGGTCGCCTGCAACTTCCAGCTGCCCCCCACCAATCCCCACCCTGAGCCCTCCTTCTCCCTCCCCATTCCAGGTTCTCAGCCTCCCTTCTCGCCAGTTTATTTTACTAAAAGAAAAATACAAAGTTTGTTTTGTTCAAATCAAAACAGGTGTGTTTATTGTGGGTTCCGGGAAGGGGGGAAGGAATGGGTTGTGGTGGGAAAGGGACCTGCAACTTCCAGCTGCCCCCCACCAATCCCCACCCTGAGCCCTCCTTCTCCCTCCCCATTCCAGGTTCTCAGCCTCCCTTCTCGCCAGTTTATTTTACTAAAAGAAAAATACAAAGTTTGTTTTGTTCAAATCAAAACAGGTGTGTTTATTGTGGGTTCCGGGAAGGGGGGAAGGAATGGGTTGTGGTGGGAAAGGGATAGTGGAGCAAGGCACAAGCCCCTAGTGGGGAGGCCCTGGAAAGAGTTACTGGGGTCCTTGACAGAAAGGCCTCCCTGATGCACACCCCCAACTGATGGGCCTGGCAGATGGCAGCTGTCCATGGCTGCTCAAAGGGCCTTCCTTCATGGCCAGACTCTACCCCGCACCCTGGTAGGAAGGCCTCCCCCTTCCTCTCCACAATGTTGTGGAGGACAACACGCCAAGACCATCTCAGGGATGTTGGGCTCCCCCACGTCCAGGCGGGTCAAGAGGCACCTGAACCACACCTTGAGGTGCCTGAAGGTGCACTCCACCTACATGAGGGCCCGGCTGAGGTGAGAATTAAATTTGTCCCTGCTGGGGTCCAGGTCAGTGATTTCCCTACCCCACCCCCATGAGGTTGTATACCCCCCCGAATTTCCCCAACACCCCCATTCCAGTTTTGTGAACTAGTTACATGCCAATTTAGTGATTGTTTGGAAATTTGAATTGAAATATTAATACACACTTTAAAAGCATATACAGTGTATAAGATATGTATCTAAAAAAGTATAATAGATTTGAAAAGTATGAACATAGACTAGTTTCCTTATACAGCCATTGTTTTTTTATGACAATGTCAGTGCATTCATTTTGGTGATGGGGGCCAACGTAATAATTTCAAATTATGATTTGTAAGCAAAGTCAAAATGAGCTCTCCCTGACAGCTAGTGATGAGCTGGGGGAAAGGCTTCAGGACCAGACTGTATTTACATTCACACCTAATCTACCTAGGTATCCAGCAAACAGAGCTGTGTTACCCAAGTGATAAGATTTTGGCTGGGGTTGGATTACAAATCACTTGAATGCGGGGGATGAGCTCTCCCTGACAGCTAGAGATGAGCTGGGAGCTGAGGGGGGAAGGCTTTAGGACCAGATTGTATTTACATTCACACCAAATCTACCTAGGTAGCCAGCAAATAGAGCTGTGTTGCCCAAGATTAGATTTTGGCTGGGGTTGGGTTAGAAATCACTTGAATGCAGAGGGAGGGAGGGAAGGTGAGGGAATGAAATGTTGTTGTTCTTATTGTATGAATAAAGGGCAGTAGAACTGTACTTAACCTGTACTGATTGAGGATGGGGACAGGTGTTTTGCTTGATGGTCTGTCTGAGTCACAAGTACTATTTGACTTGCCCCTCCCCACTGTTTAAAGACAGAGCTGATTAGGCTCCATATATAGTCTTTTGTTTTGTTAAGTGACCACTACAGCTGAAATCACTGATAATCAGGTCTAAGTGCTTAGTCCTGCTGTGGAGACTGTGTTCCTGTAGGTATAGTGTTTTTGTGTAAAAGACAGCCCAGACTGTACTAGCAGGGAGGTTCCCCCACTGAGAGCTCAGCTGAAATCACTGAGAGCTGGGTGGAACCTCAAGAGACCAACTCACGGAGATCACAGTGACAGGTAGCACCAGAAGGTGATGGCGCATGGCCATTGGCAACAGCGTGATGAAGTGAACAGTGGGACAACAAACAACAGTGGCCAGAGATAACAGTGAGCAGCTGGAGGAACAAGCAATGTGCCGTCTTGCCCCTCATATGAAAGCTCCTCTAAACTCTGAGTCTCCACTGACCAAGGACAACAACGGTGAGTCGGGTGAGGTGGAGAGAAAAATGAGGGGCACATTAAATAAACATTTGTTTGTTGGACTATATTTTAGTGACTTTGCTCCAGAATGCTAGATTTGTGACTGGGAATGGAAACTTATATAAATGTGTTTCCTAGTAGGCCAAGGTTTTTAAAAAGCATTATTTGCCAAGGTTGTTATCTCCCATCATTGCTATCTTGAGAGGTCATTATGACGGGGAGTTTCTGTACTAAACATTTTTATTATTATAATTAATGTTTACATAAGAATGGTCATACTGGGTCAGACCAGTAGTCCATATAGCCCAGAATCCTGTCTTCCACCAGTGGTCAAGGCCAGGTGCTTCAGAGGGAATGAACAGAACAGGTAATCAAGTGATCCAGCCCCTTTTGCCCATTCCCAGCTTCTGGCAACAGGCTAGGACAGGGGTGTCCAAACTTTTTTCAGAGGGGGCCAGATTTGATGAAGTGAACATGCGTGAGGGCCGACCATTTTGCCTGACATTCTTTGAACCATTAAAATTAAATGCAAATTAACTATTTTATGCAAAGTTTATTGCAAACGGCATACTTTTCATTTCGTCACATGGATGACAAATCTAAACAGGTGTTAAATCACTCTGCCTTTCATATCTGAAGGCCAGATGAAAAAAAAAATCCAGGAAGCTGAAATATATGTCAGGAACATTGTAAAGTACATTACATATTATTGGTAATAAAGGTTGTCTGTCAACTTTTAAGTTCAAAAAATATGAACAGGAACATAACACCAAGTATACATGTTGTGTCCAAATATATTTATAACTGATTTAGACCAACTGACTTTAACTGAGATTTTACAATGTATTCATCTCAATACATATGGATTCATTGGGGGCCATAAAAGATAGATATTGCCAAATTACCCGGGGGGCCGTATTAAACTGGAACACGGGCCGCAATTGGCCCGCGGGCCGGACTTTGGACATGCCTGGGCTAGGACTCTCAGAGCATGGTATTACATCCCTTCCCATCCTGGCTAATAGCCACTGATGGACCTATTCTCCAGGAATGTATCTAGTTCTTTTTTTAATCCTGTTATAGTCTTCACAGCATCCCCTGGCAAAGAGATCCACAGGTTGACTTTATGTTGTGTTAAGAAGTACTTCCTTTTGTTTTTTTAAAACCTGCTGCCTATTAATTTCAATGGGTAACTGCTAGTTCTTGTGTTATGTAAAAGATTGATTAACATTTCCTTATTCGCTTTCTTCACACCAGTCAAGATTTTATAGATCCCCTATAATAAACCCCCTTTAGTCGTCTCTTTTCTAAGCTGAAAATTCCCAGTCATTTTAATCTCTCCTTCTGTTTCAGACCCCTCATCATTTTAGTTGCCCATCTCTGTACCTTTTCCAATTCCAGTATATCTTTTTCGGGATGGGGTGACCACATCTGCACACAGTATTCAAGGTGTACACATACCATAAATTTATATAGAGGCAATAAGATATTTTCTGTTGTATGTTTTAGTGTATTTTGCAGTATCCTTATGTTAAATTTGCATTATCCTAACAAAACATTTAATGTATTCATATCTCTTTTATACATTGCAGGTCAAAGTAAAAATGAAAAAACAAAAAACAATACAATTTTTCTTCCACTCAAAGGCCTCAAAAACTAACCAAGGTGAAGAACACATCAAGAACCAAGAATATATCAACATGTCATCTGAAGGGTCAAGTGGTGTATCTACATCCAACCAGCCCAAAGCACAAATACAGCTACCTACTAAAGAAACAGTGTCTCCAAAACCTAAAGGCAGTTCCCGATGTTTGTCAATGAAAGTGTTTCCATTTATTGAAGTTACAAAAGATGGCTAACTGATGCAACTCTTGCAAAAAAGCTTATGAAGGCTAGCTTTCCAATGCTGTAACAACTGGTAAAAGTGGAGGAACCTGGTTTGTCAGACCAATCAGCAAAGCCAATGCTGACAAACTACGTGAAAAGGCAGCAAAACACCAGTCCTCTGGACTGCATCAACAAGCAGAAAGCCTTATAAGCCCACGTTCAAAGCCAATTTTAGAAATACTTAATGTGGCTGTTAAGAATGCTGGAGACACTACACAGTTCATGCAAACAAACATAGCTGTGGCATCATACTTTCTATTTAAGCAAGAGAGACCACACACTAAAAACTGGAGGCCAATGTTAAGTGCATTGTCACTTGTTCATCCTGAAGTTGAACACTGGTTCCGAACAAGACCAGCAAATGCTCACTATCTTTCTGCAAGAAACTCAACTGACTGGCTAGAAGCATGTGGTGCAACGGTTGAAAAAAGTGAAGAGCTCTCACCACATTCAAAAAATTTGCATATATGGCTGATGAATGCACCGATGCAAATGGGCATCGAGTATTAAGTCATTGTGTATGTGATCTTGATTTCAGTGGTAGGCCAGGAGATGCATTTCTAGATGTTCAAGTTATAGAAAACACATCAGTTGCATCTGTGACAAACCACATCTTAGAAGAATTAAATGCTTGTCAATTGGACCCCAAACAGATGGTTGCTTGTGCATTTGATGGAGCTGCAAACTTCTCTGGAAGACATGGTGGAGTACAAGCTTTGCTCAGAGAAAAGTGTAACCCTAATCTCTCCTATACACACTATAGAGGCCATCTTCCCCAACTAGCACTAGTACGAGCCGCAGAATCTTCATAAGACAATAAAAAAAGCTATAAATGTAATGTCTTCATTATATTCTTTTTTAAGCAAGAGTTCAAAAAGACTGAATATCTTGGAAAATATAGAAGATACACTGGTACTGAAGTTAAAATTAGCCCAACCTGGGAAAACCCACTGGCTCTCTCATGAGCGATCCTTGGCTGTTTTCTTAAAATTACTCCAGCCGTTATTACTGGCTTTGGGAAGGATGTCAGTGTTGGCAGGGGCAGATTACAGCATAACTCCGCGGGGCCCCCCTTTTGCCATGGCGCAGGCGCCGTGACG